TCTTTAAAGAAAAATTGTAAATTCATCGAAAGCTACTCCTATAATATGGAATTGCTATACTTATGAACATTAATTTGTATATACAAGCAACAACATCTTGGTCCGATTATTATAACAAACTTTGTTGATTATTTATAATTAACTGACCCCGGAAAATGATGCAAACGTTTTGCAACATTTTATTGCTGCTCCGCTCCTATTATAGCGTAGCGTGATATTATATAGTCATTCTCGATAAATAGGACACGCAATATTAAAGGAAATTTTCAATTCAATCAGGTAGTTATTAAGATTAGCGCGTTAGAAAAAAAAAACAAACTCTTCAACTTAATGTATTAGTATTATATTTAACACACATTTAACACACACTGCATTTATTGACGTATAAGAAAATTCCAATATTTAATCCAAATAAATTTGATTTATGTGAAATATTTGATTGAATAGAATCTAAATGTTGATATAGTTTGATGGATTACGACTATTGATGTATTAGAAGTTTCTTATGATTTTCTTGAATTATTCAGTAACGACTATAATAATTCAGTAGTTGGTTACAAAGTTTGAAAACAAACGTTTGTTTGAAACTATGTTTATAAGTTTATTCTATATTATAACCAAATCATAGAATTTATCATTCCGATGATTACATATTACTAGCATCTGACGCATGCGCAATGGCTTTAAACTGTCCGACAGCTGGCAATCGCTATCCTCGTTTGACTAGTGGTGTTACGCGCTAGCTCTCTTTCACTCTACTTTTAATATTTACTATATTTAATAGCCAGCAACCCTTATTTGCAGCCAGATTTAGTTAGGCAACCGTATATGATAATAAACAGAAAAAAATTAGCTTTAATTTGATATATAAATTATGAATGTACGTTGTGGGTGTATAAATGTAATAAAATCATACCTGTGTACACCTGGCTGCGAAGAGGTGCGGCCAGGTGCGCAACGGCAACCATGATTTTTCACAGTCTTTATAGATGTTGCCGTAAAGTGAACGACATTTTACTGAAAAAACAAGTCAATGAAATTTCTTACGGATTGCGAATTATTAATAATTTAATTAAAAATACTAGCGGCCACATTTTGATAGGCAACCTGGTAGATATAAATTCTCCTAATGATAAATATGTGTAAAAATTTGGTTTTCAGCAAACACTCGATGGGTACACTGATTCTGCAGCGGGATCTCGGACTATTAGGATTGCTCCCTCAGTCTCTTTAGTTATGTCTTTAGAATGCCAAACAAAGGTACCCTCTATCATATGAAAAGTATTAAGAATCGTTTATATACTTATTCAGTACCGTGTACAATACAAAATAAATAATCCTGGACAATTAATATTAAATATCTTTAATGATATGAATTAGTCAACGGAAAGCAGACCTTGTGTTATATGTGCTCGACAAGTGATATAAATACTTAAATAATTTTTCTTGTATAAATACATACATAATATAAGTAGAAAACACCCAGACCGATATAAACAATCGTACTCAGGATTACGAATATTTCGCACCGTGCGAGGAATCGGATCCGCGATCATCGTAGGTAAAAGGGTGTGCTAAGCCACCAGACTACCAAGGCCGACAAATCAAAATATAAATAATGTGTCGTCCATGATACCACTCTATGCGTCTACATTTCTGACAACTAAGTTGGTATAGCTATGTACTTCGTAATTCATTGTCATATGTCATACTTTACGTACACCGTCATTATTATAACATTTATTTTTATTATTATAATCGATATTATTATAATTACATTGTTATTGTAACTAATCTTAGAGAATTACCTGAATAAGTACTACATTTTGTTATCAGTAAACAGTAGCGGAACTGATTATGCATAATAACCGACCACACATAGCTAATATCGATTTCTGTGATATCTACAGAGATTTAAGAACGTTGTAGCTTAGTAGGTTACTATCCCTATTTAAGCGCCAACAAAAAAATATTTCTGACTGATCTTCCGGTGATTGAATCGGTAGTTACAAACCAAATTAAACCTAATATACCTAGCGCAATATAGGCATCTTATCTATTGCGTTTACCAGCACCTCTCAGTGTCTTTGCCTATTTATCTGGAAAAACATACGTGAAAGTAATAATTACTAGGTGTGTCCACAATTTCACCCGCATGAAATTTATAGCCTATACGTTTTTCTGAAGTATAAGCTATATACTTGTAAAGTTTCATCAAAATCCCTTGAGTAGTTTTTGCGTGAAAGAGTAGCAAACATCCATAGTATGGATAAATGTTTGTTACTTCCAAACTTTCGTTTGTAATATTAATAAGATATGTTTGTACAATAGAAGAGAAGATATGCCGCTATGATTAATAAGCAAGGGTTACATTCGATATTCACGAATCAAAATAGCCATGCGGAGAGCAGGCGTTTTCCATATAAAATTGCGTCGGAGATCACAGCCTCGGGACAAATATTTGAGTTCCTTTTCATATTTTTTATATATTTGCCTTGAAATAAAAATAAGGACGAGATATAAATGCTGTATAAAAATGTCTTCAAATTGTTTTTCATTTTCTCGATCTCCTTAAAGAAAATAAGTGCAAGATACTTTCAAACCAGAAAAGAATCGTACAACTTTAATGACAATTATTGTTTAAGTTGTATGGAAATATTGTATTACAAAATTACAAACAGCTGACAGATTTCGGTGATATTATTTCCCATGAGATGCTGAATTTTCCAGAATAATAATTATTCTGGATTATACTTGTTATTCTAAATATTACAAAAGCCTTTCCTTTTGTATTATTTTTCATGGGAGTCAAATTTGGTGGTATTTAATTTTTTTATTTATATATATATGATACAACAATAGATCATTCTATTTAACTTACTAATTTATTAAATTAATAAACATATGCGTATGATAGAATAAATTGTAATTTATATATGTTCGAATAATTAATTAAGTATTGGACATCTAAGTATTTTTTAATGTAATTAGGACGACAAAGAAGCTATCGACCCATCTTATGGTAACTATTATTTAAATACATAAACAACAACACGGAAATCATCATATGAAGTGCATGTGATGAAGATATACAGCAGGAAATACAAATTATTCTCTACTACATTACAGTTGCATGTATGACACAATTGTGAAATGTGATCGATTATAATTTTTATTCCACAACCAATATGTCTAATAGCATACTAATGCGTTGCTGTCCCGGTGGACCAGGAGATCATGCGCTTTAACTTCACTGCTTTATAATAAAAGCTGTTTAGCAGCTGAAAAATATGATGTCGAAGTATCCATGTAAATGACGTAAATAACAGAGTTTACTTGAAAAGAAATCCATGTTTACATTGATAACACGCAAATTAGAAAAGGATTCATTTCTTTATTCATAGAAAGAATTCATTTATTCTTACGAATTTAAGCATCATTTGAATAGTAAATTAATTATAAAAATGTTTCATCCATTAATCAGTCAACACATAAATCTTTTACAACGCATCTTCAAACGACCCTCTTTTGATTGTCGATAACTGTTTCCCTTTTAATGTTAATCACATTATCTCAAAGTAAGCGTTGTAAGGAAAGTAGAAAGTTAGTAGTTTTAGTCTATTCACCTCAAAATGCTAAGTAATATTAGGTACCTATATGCTAAGTAAAGTAAGTAATCGTCTTATGACGCAGCTATCCATAGAAGCAACTATGTAATAAGCATATATTTTAAGCAGCAAGTACCTAATACTTGCTGCTTCAAATATATGCTAATTTATAAATTATATTTAAAATGTAAATAAGCAAGATAGAAGGCAAAAAATATTCTTCCATATAGTATTTATAATATACACTATTATAAATACTATATGGAAGAATATTTTTTGCATTCTATCCTGCTGGGACTGCTGTACATCATTCAGAACTTACGACTCAATATAATGTTTTATTTTGAATTTTCTTCTCCTAGAGCAATGTTGATCACTTGATTGATGAGCTATAACTTTTTATCTCTCATGAGTGAGTGGTAAAATTGTATTGTTAGTACGTCGGCGTCTCCATACGGAAGACGGAAGACACTTTAATATGATGTTGGCATACATTAAAGTTTATACATAAATCTACTTCAGTACACTATACTATTCTCTTTGATGTACCTAAGTGTACGTCAGCAATGTTATTTCACGGTGCGTTTTTTTAGGATAAATCTCAACGATAACTATTTTGTAACAAACTTTTATATGTTCGGTTTGAAGTGAAGGTGTATCGCTTTTTTTACTTTATTTTAAAGAAATACACATATGGTAATCCTGCACTTATGGGTTGAAAATCTAATAGTATGGACGTCCAATACATTAGTGAATTACTATATAATAACTAAATGGAAAAATATGGTTCAGCTTGTTGTAATAATAATATTATATATTTATTTAAACTTAAGAACATCTCATTAGATAATTTTATATGCCGACTCGAAAAGGTTGTTTGGTTTGTTTGTTACAATATAATAATAATAAATATATTATGTAAATTATGACTATATAAAAGAAAGTACTCATTGCACACAGTATATTTTTCACAGTAATGATAGCAGTAAGAACATATTAGAGTATAATTGAACAATCATTCGATTGCTTTTATTACTTTTTAATTAGGCAGTAATTATTAATTAAGTTTATCAAATTAATTATAATTACAATTATAATCATAATAATCATTATTATAGTTAATTATTCTTATAATATAACTAATGTAAATACTAGATTGCAATCTGTAATATAAATATGTAATAGACAGTTAAAAAAATTTTAAAGCTTTAAAAAATCAAATTCATGCCTAAATTTAATATACATTTTTTGCACTGAAAAAATACAGTAATGAAATAGTTTATAGACAGTTTTAAGTCATTGAAATTAGTAATATTACGTTTTACTCTTTAAGAACACTAACAAAGTACATTGATGCAATTGACATTCAGTATTTTTTTCATGTTTACTCACCATAAGCCGGTCAATGAGGTGGGATTAAAATTTTCCGTGCCGTCGCGTCCGCATCATAAATCATCGAAAGCTAATGAACTTTCAGGCGAAGTAACTCAAAAGTACCGTAATTTTAATTACATCTTATTTAAATTTATACGATCATTAAACTTCATGGATAAAAAGTTTTATTCCTTCAACAAACTTCGTCACATATTTGGCACAAACACAATTGTCAAACATATTTTGAATTTTAAATATGGAATATTTATACAATTAAAACAGTATTCAAAGTACGTTTATGTCATCTGTAATTTAAATTTCGAAGTAAGATAAAACGTCTGCGTCCGAAGTTATGTTCATACCGCACCCTCCGAGCGGCCACGCGATCGAGTCTCACAGAATGGACTGGAGTCACACGTAACTTCTCGGGACCAAATGGGAGTAGGTAATGCGCATGGTTCACGAAGATAATCTGGGGTAGAAAACGTAGTTGAACGAAGAAAAGCTTTCAATGTGAATGCATTTTTTCTATTGTGCCAGGAAGCTATAGGCGGAAAATGGTATGCGTAATTGGGTATTTATCGACTTTTTCTTTTTATATTTTACCGGATATATAAATATGATTTAAAGAGTATATACATCCTTCCTGTTGTTTTTAAGTTTTCAAGTATTTTGATTAACGTATTGATATATTTAATGATGATATTTATCAATCTAGAACCTAATTTAAATCATATCATCCCTGTTCTGTAAATTTGAGATAATAATTCCAAACACCCGCTTTATGCATGACATCATGAGTGCTAGTTTGATGATCGTCAATTAACTCGTGAGCCCATTCATTTTATAAATATGTCAATATGGCGCATGATATAAAAGAATTGTAGTATTGACAACTTTATTAACGTAATAGTTATAAGAACTGGAATTCAGTCTCACTATTCAGTTTTTGTGGGTTTAATCATGCTCAGTATAAGTCTGAGTATAATAAATAATAGGGTTTGAAAAGTGTTTTTTTTTTTGTATTTGTAATAATTGTTGAGTAACTAAAACCCTGCTTAGTTAGTCCTCAAAATTAGTTTTTTCAAAGCAAATATTAGATTAAAGTTAATTAATTTATTCCTAAACCTGTACCATGTAAATACATGGTACAGATTTAGGAATAAATTAATTTTAAGTACATAAATATGTAACACTAACAAGCTATCCTTGCTTTGCATGGATGTCCTCTAGTTTTTTTTAATTAATAAAACTTGATATGAGCAAATATAAAATTCTTGACCTGTCAGTCAAAGAAATAATTAAGTTGAACTGTCCATGGTGAAGGCTTTTATTGTCGAGCTATTCTAATGCTGTCCGGTGAAGGTGTAAAGGTCAGATATGACCTAAAATTAACGTTAACGAAAATTAAAATTAACGAGAATTATACGTAACCTTCTGGATAAAACTGTAAATGATAGTGAAAATTTTAATAAAATCCATTTGTTCATCACAAAAGTACACATAAAAAGAATCAAACGAACTTTTTTGTCTTGAAATAATATCGTAATTTATAATAAATCAATTTATTAGGTAAATAAAATAATAGTTCTGAAGAGAAAACAGTTATGTCAAATTAAAACACATCTGTACCCACATTCATACTTATTGTTTCATATCTCGTATATTTCATACACATATACTCATAATAAATTTTGTTGCGAATAATAAATCACGTACCTACTTTTTGAGGGGAAATTGAGCAATTCCAATAATGCTAGTCTCGAGCCAAGAATCAATAATACTATTGTTAAATTAAATTTAGAGGTTACGATACTTCGAATAAATTTATATCATGTTATTTACATCTTTTTTACATGTATCATATGTATTTTAGAATAATATCGCAAAGTGACAAGGCGAAAACAAGGTTTGTTAGTTTGTGTACTAATTTTGGCCGGAGTAGGAAATCTAGATGACATTTTCAAAGAATATGTTTCAAAACATAGATTAAACAGATTATGAAAGCTCACAAATAATACCCAATACCTCATAAATTATAATTTGAATTTATTGCTTTGGTCAATATTTTTCAATATGATTTGAGTGGTTAATTATTAATTAATATTTTATTTACATAATAACTTAATTGTATAGAACCTAAAATTAAAAAGCTTAAAAAATATAATATAATAACAAAAATATATTATTAAAAGGTTAATTAATTAATTAATAAAGTAATATGTTTCATTTATTATTATCGTTTGATTATGATAGATGGCGTCTACAAATGTACACGCAAATAAAGTCACAAAGCAGAGCTAGTGTTGTGAAAACATAAAAACATTTCGGATTTTATTGAGTTTTAGTCATTGTATTTACCTAATATTAAGTTTTATTTACTATGTATATCATAATATATTTATCATATTACGTGACTTTATTGATAAACTCAGTAGTTATTGAAATCCTTTTCAATTATATTGGAAATGTTTTAACAACAAAGAAATCCAGTAAGTAGAGATTATTTCAGTATAATTCTGCCATTGTTAAATTTCATATTTATTTTTATTTTATTGTTCACTAACTGAGCCCTGACTGTATACGTGGTTTTTAGATGACAATAAATTCAAACTTTTTTTTCTAACCAATTGGACTAAAAACATATTATGAGACGCTCGGTAAAGACCGGTATAATATTACCGTTCTTTTAAATGCAAGAAAAACAAAAAATTTAAAACACAATTTTTTCCTGTCTAACATATATACAACGTCGTACAGACAATGTTTGTTACGCAATTTCTAGAGGAAACAAGATTGATAAAGGACGTTCTCAAACATATAAGAGATTTCTTCCAAGAAACCTACAAGTGAAGGTATATTGATAGAAGGAAATAGATACTTACTGTGCATAATGTGGAAAGCAAAAGATAACACTTTGAAAAAAGTAGGTGTTAAAGGGCGCCGTAGCGTAGTGGTTTAATGTTCCGGTTTAGACCACGAAGGACATGAGTTCGAATGTGAGATATAAAATGCGTCAGTTATAAATATTTCTGGCTAATACTGCAGTGATCTCTTTAAACTACACAGCAGATTTTAATGTAATTTTCCGCAATAGATAGAGTGATTCAGTGAGAAATGTTCATATGGATATGTACATTATATTGAAGTAGAGAAAAACCGATAACTCAAAAAGCATGTAATGCGACCAAACGAAATCGAGCAGGTCGCTATTTTATTATAATCGGTGATAAATATGTAGTAAAATGTACACAAAATACTGACAAATCGACCATCTTTCATTTACAATACTTTTGGGCTGTAATGGCTTTACTACGGTACAAAACAGGATGCTACGTAAAACATTACGGTTGATTTGAGCTACTTTTATATTTCCACGTAGTGACGTGAATATTTTTGTCCCGCCTTGACGTACTGTGACTGATATGGATAAACAGACAGTTTGGCTAAAGTTAGGGTTGTCGCAATTCCAGGATAGTTTGGAAATTAACCGTGATATTTCGAGTTTAAAGGTAAGATTTCATTACACGCATTATGGCGGCGAAGGTAACTTTAGCTCTTGTATGTGACATAATGTAACGAATTATCTACTTATTAGATTTAACATGTCATCTAAGTATGTTTTGTAAGTGGAACTTTATGTATATTAGTTAAATATGAATATTATTTTATAATTATATTCATATATATATAATATAATTATATATTTCTGGCATTTTCCGGTATCTTATTATCTTTAATTTAAGTAAAATCATAGACAAGATAGGTACATAAACCAACCAAACTTAATTAAACAAACAACAGACGTATTGAAGTAAGTAAGAACTTTACTATATGTATTGAAAAACTGATAGAAAAACATGAATAATATACATATATATATTATATTTATGCATGTAATTCATTGCGTGGTTTCGAAGAAGTAAGCGGAATAACAGATGGACGAAACGGCTATTTCTTTATAGGTACTATTTATAGATATTAATACTCGTATTCTTTGCTCTTTAAGTATCCCATTGTTATATCAGTCGCAATGGGATTTTTAACGGCAATCTTATTCTATATTAATTATCCGACATTAATTGATATTCATTTTGCGTAATGAATTAAGATTAGGAGAACAAACTGCAGTTCAAGTGGTTGCTCTACATTATGACTTTTTTTAAGATAGAGAACAAACGAGCTTGCGGCTCACCTGATGGTAAGTGATTACCGCGGCCCATGAGCATGCGCAACATCAGGGGAATTGCAAGTGCGTTGTCGGAGGAAAAAAGGAATATCCTCTTTTCTTGAAGGTTTCAATATTATATCGATTCGGAAATACCATTACAGGAAGGTGATTCCATAATGTGATTGTGCTTTGCAAAAAGTTTCCAGAAAACTGCACTGTGGAGGACCGCCATTCATCCAGCTGATCAGGTTGATATTTTAGTTTCTGGCGCATGGTACGGTTGTGAAACTCAGCAGCTGGTATTAATCCGAACAATTCCTCAGGTTACTCCCCGTGCTAAATGCGGTAGAAAATGCACTGAGATACAATATCTCGCCGCAGAGCCTGTCACAAAGACGTTGATTACCTATGATTCTGGCTGCTCGGTTCTGAATACGGTCAAATGGAAGTAGCTGGTATTGTAGTGCTCCCGCCCAGAGATAAGAACAGTATTCCATATGCGACCGGATCTGTGCCTTGTATAATTACAAGCGATGGGCCGCTGTGAAATACCGTCTCACTCTACTGAGCATACTCGCTCTACTTTTTAGAGGCTATTTTAGCCTTGTCCTCCAAATGACCGCAAAACTGAACTTCACTGGATATATCAACGCCAAGGATCTCGAGATTTGGCTTCATATCAAGGAGAGTGTCTTGTGACTATGATATATAAGATTTTTAGACCTATAAGAAGCGTCTGGTGTACCTTCTACAGGAATGGATCATGATTAGGTTTTTTGTTCTAAAGTTCACATTCGCTGCAACAAGGATCTTAGAGACTTAATATATTTCTATCATATTCAACTTGTTAATAATTTAATATAATTCAATAAATAGAAATAGTACAGATACACTGTTTAAAAGATGTCACCAAAATTTGCAATTGTCTTACTTCTTTGGGACGTTTTGTAATACTTAGAGCGCTCACATTTGATATTTCTTAAAAGTTTAGCTAGACCACAGCAGTACAGATGTAACTTCAATTAAGTATTTTAACTTCAATAGCCTAAGAGCACGTTTTATTTCTCACGACTCTAACAAACTTTGTAAACAAGCTGCTTCTAAACACGTCCACTCTGGTGTAGGTCTAGGCGAGGACATTGTTTTATCAAGGTTTGTGTACGTGAGTGAATTATCCATATAACAATTAAATTTATTTGGATATTTACAAATAGTAATAAAAAAATATG